GGGGCGGCCCCCCCCCGCTCGCGCGGCCCTCCCCCGCTCGCGCCGCTCACCGGCCGCCGAGGAGCCCGGCTCGGGCAGGTCCCCGAACAGATCCATCCCGCTGGCTGCGCGGTGGCGGCGACAGCGACGAGGCGGCCGGCGCCGCTTCCTCCTGCGGCGGCGCCGCCCCGCCTACCCCGCCTGCCAATCACGCCGCGGCCGCCCGCGTTTGGGCCAATCGGCGGCCGCGGCGCGGCCGGAAGGCAGCTTCCCACCCGMCTACCTCGGGGGTGGGGTTCTGCCCCGCGCCCCGCCCGCGCTGCCTGTCTATCACCGCGCGCGGCCAATCACCCATCGAGCGTGGCCATCTCGGTGAAGCCCCTCCCTTGCTTTATTAGGACGCGCCGCCTATCAGCRAGCTCACGCCCGCCGTCTGGCCAATCCAGCGGAGGGGGCGTACCCCGGGCGCGCGCCTCCAGCCAATCGCTGGCGAGGGCGGGAAGGAGCAGCCCGTGAGGCGAGCACGCCCGCGCAGTGCCCCTCAGGCTGGGGCGCGGCGCGCAGCGCGGGGTTCGCTCGCCGCGCCCGGAGGGTGGTGGTGAAAAAAAGGAGAGTCTTGGTGCAGAATTTGCAGTATTTGCATAAATGCCACATTTATTTCTTAACGGAACAATGCCTCAAGTGTACACAGACGGTTTTAAGACCCTAAGCTCCAACACTCATAGTTTCAAGACACCAAGGGACCGGGACGGGGTGCTCGGGCGCGCTGTGGCCGTGCCGGGCGCGCGCAGCCATCACCTATGTACAAGCAGGAGGAGCGGCCTCGGCGCTGCCCGCTCGTGGAAGCACACGCAAAGGAACAGGGGTGGGGTGTGGGAAATAAACCGAAATGAAAGGAGCCGCCGGTAGGAACAGATGGAGCCGGTCGGGCCCTGGTGCCGGCCCGGCCGAGCGCCTGGCCGTGGCAGAGGTGCGGCCGCCTGGCGCTCGGCCCCGTGGGGTCACCTCGGGCCCCTCTCTCAGCGGGTGGGATTGGGCTGTCCCGGCGGCGGCAGCGCTGCCCCGGCTCCGTGCTCGGCACGGCGGTGCCGGCGGGTGCGGGTGCTCCCTCTGCTCCTCGCCTGGGCAGGGATGGGGCTCGGGTCTCTGGGGGTGGCGGGCGCGGGGCCGCTGGGCGATGGCTGGGGGGCTCATCCCCTCGGCCAGGGCTGGGTTCGCTCAGYGGGGAGGCGCGCGGGCCGCGGCGGGAGGGACGGGCCCACGCGGCCGGCGCAGCAGCGCGTGTGCTCTGCAGGTTGGCTGGCCCCAGGCACACGGCAGCTCTGCCCCGCGACACCGGGCTTCCCTCCGGGCCCGACGCGGACCGCGGCTCCGTCCCCGCCGAGCGCTCCTTGCTTCCTTCCTCCCGACACCTCCAGCGAAGCCGTGTCTGGTGCCTGGCAGACACAGGGGCCGTGGGCCCTTCTGCTTCGTTAAGGGACACAAATTGACCTCCAGGCATCCAACGAAACGGGCAGCGAAAGGCTAAACCGGGAGGACCAGGCATGACGGCGCTGCTCCCTGCCTGGCGGAGCAGGGGCGGCACCGCCATGGGGGCACAGCGGGATCCCGAGGCTGAGCGCACGGGAATGGACCGCCACAGCGCGGCTGCGCACGAGCACGGAAGGGCTCGGGGAGGGACCGCAGGGAGCTCGGCTAAGCGCTGCCCGGCCAGTGCGGCGCGGAGGCAACGGGGAGGGTGTCACCGGTGCCCTGCGCCGCYGTCCCACGAGCGTCCCGGAGGAGAAAACAGCACAGGGAGAGAACCTGCACTCGGAACCACACACACAGCACCCAACACACAACGGACAGCGTGGAGATGTGCCACGGAGAGGCAAGGCGCAGCCGTGCTGTGCAAATTAAGGTCAGCTGTGAATGCGTGACAGCAAAGCAGGGGGCCCCTGCGGAATGGGCCCCAGGGGCGTGCGGAGAAAGGTAAATTCCTGCCCGGAGTCGCACGGGACACAACTAGCTGCTCTGCGGAAAGTGTCCCTGAAGGGAAGTGTCCCCCTCTACACACACCCGGCAAAACAACCAACAAGACAAGCTGCTGAAGCGGGGGACGTGAGAAGGGGGGCAGTGAGGTGTCCCCCCAGGAGGAGGAGGCCGTGTTAGTGAAGCCCCCTCTGCTGCGGGAAGGTCTCCCAAGCCAGCACGGCTGCTCCGGGCACCTACAGGGGCTGCCCTGGAAGGTGGCCCTTGGCCTCCGGGACAGGGGGAAGAGAGTAAGAAAATGCCAGCTACAAAAGTAAAAAGAAGCCACAACCTCTCTGTCTCTGCTTCCCCCCTCCTCACCCTCTCCACTGCCGGTTGCATGTGCTCCGAGCCTCTCCCTCCTTCAAGGAGGAGCAGGGACCATAAGGGGCCTCTTGGCAAAGGGCAGCCAGGAGCCGGCCRGGCCAAGGAGGAAGCTCCGAATCCCAGGGAATATCCCTACGGACCTGGGGAAAGAGCCCCCTGGCYGCAGCCCTCTCGCCTGCAGAGCCGGGGCTGCTGCAGCCTCGCCGGGGCGCAGCCCAGGACGGGGCGAGCAGCGGAGGGCCCTGCCCTGCGTCGCGGCCACAGCTCTGCGAGAGCCACCCCCGGGGCCCCAGCTCCCGTTTTTCAGGCACTGGGCGCAGAAGAAGCCGAAGCCCCGGTGAGGGGCCCCCTGCAGAGGTAGACGGGGAAGGGGGGGCAGGTAGGAATCGCCTGGCTYGGGAAGACAGTGCGGCGGCGCCGGGGCTTGTGCGGTGCCGCTGCCGGCACGGGCCTCTCCGGGCCTCCGCGGCTCTGCCCTGCCCTGCCCAGTGCAGCGGGACCACCCCGGCCTGGGGGACTCTAGGAAGTCGATAGAAATAAATACTTTATAAATATAATCTGGACAACCTACTGGCACCTGATTTCACCTGGCCGACTTCTGCAGAAACGTGAATAAGTTAGGAAATCCCCAGAACTGAGCTATCATTTTSTTCCCTTCCCGTGGAAGCAATTCCTCCTGGTTTCCAACCTCTGACCTCACCAACACTCCTATCCTCCGTGGACCAAAGACCAATTTTTAACCAAAACTACCCTCTTTGCTCTCTTCCCTCCAAAAGGAACCTCTGTGGAGTGTAATAGGTTGCATGACATGAAGGTCACCCATGAGGGGGACGGGCAGAGGATCACATGCACCCAAGAAATCCTGCCCAGGCGGGGCCAGGCTTTTGCAGCTACAAACAGAAATGAGTTTCCCCCGTGAAGGTGTAAAATTGAGACAGATCCTTCCATGGAGCAGAGAGCTGGGGCAGCAGATGGTGTGAGAGACCAGACATTAACATGGGGACTCTTGGGACAGATCTTGATCCCGTTGGCAGATGGATGAGGTGGAGGGTGCTTCTCAGGTTAGATTCTCATCTGGGCTGTTCTCCTTCTGGAAAGCTTGGATCTGAGTTGGAAACGGAGAGAAAAGCGGGTCAGAGACCAGAAAGGGAGCACGGAGGCTCCCCCGGGGTCGGTGTCCTGCATGCAGGCAGGTACCAGAGCTTGAGGGACATGAGGTGGCCGTATTTTTTATCCCGGGACCTCAATGTCCCTGTGCCTTTACTTTGTGCTGCCCCAAGGCCAGCAGTGACCGCGCAGTTGTTTCCTCCCCCACTGCCCTCATCACCTTATGGATCCAGCCAGGAGCGGATTGAAGGCGTAGAGCCAGTCGTGCATGTCCTTGTCGCTGCTCGCCTGCAGCAGGATGCCCCGGTGCTCCGTGCACACCGCAAACGTGTTCGGGGTCTGCAGGGAGACAGTCTGGCCTGACGCCCTTGCCTGGGGTGCCGACTTGGCTCCCCGTGCGCGGGGCAGGCACCCACCTTGAGCATGGCCTGCTGGTCCTCGCTGTACTCCACTTGGGCCTTGGACAGGTTGAGGATGGCCCTCTCGACGGAGTCCTTGTCCGAGTTGTAGATGTAGACGTAGGGGCGCCTCACCACCACAAAGCGCTTCACCCAGCCGTTGGTGTGGGGCTCCAGGAAGTGCAGGTAGCCCTTCTTGGAGACGATGGGGCTGCGGAGCGAGGGAGGCCGTGCTCAGCACGGGAGTCGCAGAGGCGCCGGGACAGGGCACATTGGGCAGCTCGTACCTGACACGGATCTCCTGAATGTCGGGCACCAACAGGCGCTGGGGCTCCTTCTCCTCCTCAGGTCGGCGGGCCGGGGACTTCTTCTGCTCTCCTTCCACTGTAGGCTCTAGCTCAGGGCTCTCTGCCCTGAAGGCGACCTGCGGAGTCCTGGGAGGAGAGGAGAAAAGGTGAAGACCAGGGAGGACAACCACCAGCCAGCACCGTGCCTAAGCCATGCCGTTGTCCTGCTTGCTGGACTTCCAAGAACCAACCCAACCTTGTGGCCGCCTTCTCACCTGACCTCCATGGCGTTGTAATGCCCCTCCACCAGGGACGGGCAGGTCGAAGACGGGGTGAGCGTGGTAACGCCGAGGGCAGACATGGAAGGGTCTCTCATCAGGGTCACCGACATCTCGGACAGCTGTGGGGGAGCAGCCATGTAGGCCGTTACCAGTGTCAGCGCTGATGGCTCCAGTGGCACCATCAGGGATGGCTCCAGCACCAGGGCTTTCCCGCAGGCCCCCTGGGACCACAGTGGCACAGGGAGGTGGCCACGCCACGCTGGCCATACCTTGCTCTCGCTGGCGCTGATGCACACGTGGCTGTGGCTGTACTCCCTGTTGAACGTGTGTGTGAGCAGACGCAAGCACTGCGGAGAGAGGAGAAGGCCCAAGGGCCGGGCCCGTCACAGAACCATCGGTACGGTTGGAAAAGCCCCATCCAGATCAAGGAGGGCAACCAGGTGCCTCCTCCCATCCCTCAGCCTTCACTGCGCGGCACACACAAAGCTGCTGGCAGCCCCGCTCTGAGATGTTACCTTCACAGCCAGCTCCTTCTGCCGCTCACTGGGGGTCTCGGGGGGAGAGGCCCTGCTCTCCGGGGCCCCATCGGCGGAGAGTGGCGAGGAGACGCACGAGGCACTACGGGACTCGGAGTCCTCGCTGGAGCAGGGCGAGAGGCTCTCGAGGCCCAGCCGCTGCGTTGTCTCGAGCTTCTCRCGCAGGAGCAGGTAGTGCCTTGTCTTCTCCACCTGCATGGAGAGCCTGGTTCAGCGAGCCCTGTCCCAGCCCAGGGTCAGSGCAGCGCAGAATCRTTACAGTTGGAAAAGACCTTCAAGACCAGTGGGTCTAACTGTGAACCCTTCGACACTATCCTGCTAAACCGTGTCCCTTGACATGGTTGCCTCAACACTGCCAGGGATGGAGACTCCACCGCTTTCCTGGGCAGSCTGTTCAATGCTTGACCACCCTTTCCCTGTAGAAATTCTTCCTAATGCCTACCCTGGCATAACTTGAGGCCATATCCTCTAGTCCTAGGGGTAGTTATTCTGTAGAAGAGACCCCTGCCTCACTCACCTCCTCTCAGGAAGTTGTAGAGAGCGATAAGGCCTCCCCTGAGCAGCCTCTTCTCCAGACTAAATAACCCAGCTCCTTTGGTGCCAGGTGCCTCTCAAGCTCCCCTAACTTGGCTGCTCACRGACTTGGAGCCTGGTGGAGCCCAGCCAACCCTACAGCGCACGAGACCAGGAGGGCCAGCCCCACTCTTGCCTCCTGCCCCCATCCTCTGAGTGAGAGGATAGAGACCCCCAGGTTGGGCATCCCCTCTTCTCCTGGCATCYGTGGGGCATGGTGTGGGCTGCAGAGGACTGCGCCGCCGCAGCGTGGGGATGTTTCTAGAGCAGCCTCTTACCTCCTGCAGGAGGCTGAGCTTCTCCAGCTCCCACTGGTGGTCAAGGATGAGGCTGTCACTGCGGGGCCGCCAGCCGGCCAGGTTCTCCTCCCCGCGCACGTAGGCCACGGAGGTGTCGAGCACGCGCCGGCGCCGCCGCTGCATGCCTGGTGGGAGAGAAGCACAGCTGCTGGGAGGGCGGCGGGCCAGGCGCGTGGCGCACGTGGGAGCAGGGACACGCCACCCACCTGGGCTGCCAGCGTCCGCCACACGGCACAGGCTCAGCTCATAGACGCCCGTCACGCGGTTGCTGCAAGGACAGGGGGATGGGAGGTCATGCAACGCGGCGTGAACTCTTCCCTCCCCGCTCCGTCCACAGGCGGTCAACAGTACCTCTCTGCAGCCCGCAAGCTCCCGCTGCCGAAGAGGTTGCGGATGGAGCGGGATGCGGGCAGCTTGGCGTCCCGCGAGTAGAAGACCATGCAGAAGTCCTTGGTGATGACAGCGGGCTGGGTGCAGTTCTCCATCTGCGGGGGGTGCAGAGACAGGTGAGTGGCAGCAACGGTTCAGAGGGAGCTACAGCCACCCCTGCGGTCYCCTTGTGCTGCCCAACCAGCCACGGGAGCAGCTGCAGCTGCAGATTACGGTGCAGATCACGGGCAGAACCTCCCTCCTGTCCCCGTCCTGGCACTGGGCTGGGTGTGAGCAGAGTCACCAGGAAAACACCTTTAGAGGCAACTCCGCAGGGCTGCAAACCCTGCAGCTCTCACAGGCACCATGAGCACCAGGAGTCCCTGGCTGCACGAGTGCAGAGCTCCTTGCCTCGATGTATGCCGACAGCGTGATGTAGATCTTCTCCCGGTACGGGGTGACGCGGTTGAGCAGCAGCGAGTTGTGCATGGAGCTGTCCCAGGCTGCCTCGAACTGGTAGAACGTCCTGCAGGGATAGAGGAGCGGGTGGCTGCTGAAGCGACGTTGGCACTGAGAGCGGGGCGCGAGCGCCGGGGGAGCCGTGGGGCACGCGGGGCGGCAGCGCCGCAGGGCCGGCCGCGCGCGCATGCAGGCGCCCGGGGAGCTGCGCTCGCCACGGAGCCAAGCGGGCCGGCGCGCCGGGGCAGGCGTGCGGCGCCAACGCGGCAGCGCGGGACGCGGCTCGGCACGGGGCTTGCGGAGGAGCAGGGGAAAGGGGCTGGCGGCGGGGGCTCAGGCAGGGCAGAGCGTGGCCCCGGGGCGGCCTTTCGGATGAGGCCTCTGCCCCTTGGCCTGCAGSGAAAGGGGCCTCCTGGCCGCCCCGGGGGGCTTGTGCAGGGCCCCCACGCTGGCGCTGCACCTCGTGGGTCTCCCTAAGCAGCCCATCCCGCTCGCTGCGCCCACCCCTCGCTCTCCTCACCACCCTGCCCAGCTCTCCCTGGCCTGGAAGCCTCTTCAGGAGGCTCCAGAGAGCTGCGACACCTCCGCACGGACACGGCACTGCGGCACCTGTGGCGGTACACAAGCCCCGGCCTGCTCCGAAGGCCGGGGAGGCCGGGAGGCTCCTCGCTAAAGGGTCTTTTCCGGGGCCTGGGGATACACTGCTATCGTCCCCACTGCACGCTGGAAGCACAGAGAGGCCCGGGGATGGGACCGGCTGGTGTACACAGAACGCGCAGGAGAAGGAGGAGCGCCGGGAAGACACGGAGCGCCGGAGTGGGAAGAGGTCCGGAGGGCAGAGGCGAAGAGGAGGACAGGAGGAGCAGGAGGGGAAGGGGGAAGAGCACAAAGCGAAGGAACGAGGCGAAGGAGGAAGAGAGAAAAGCGGGAGGGACCAGACCGAGTGAGGGCGCGAGAAATACCTAGTGTCATTTCCCAACGAAATGCTATAAGTGGGAGGCAACCCAGGACAGACACACACACACATACACACACAGAGAAACGAAACGTCAGAGAGCAGGGCCCAGCCGGGGCCTTGCGGCCACGAGGGCCGCAGAGGATGGGGCCACCCCTGGTCCCGGCGTCCTGGCATCGGCACCGCTCGTTCCTGCTGCCTCCGCAGGAAGGAGGTGCTGGTGGTGCTGGTGGGGTCCGGCACGCGCGTGTTTCTCGTGCRTCAGGACAGGACTTTGCTGTCACCACCCCTGTTCTCTTCTGCAGGCAGCTCCTGCCCAAAGAGGCGCTCTGGATGCCCCGAGAGCAGAAAGACAGCGAAGGAACACCAAAATATACCTGCCTTCTGCTTCACAGCCCTGAGGCAAAAACCCTCTGCAACCGTCTGCCCCAGAGCCTTCCCCACCTGCACCTGAGAGGGGAGTAGAATTAAGGCTAACGCGAGAGGAGCTGGGCCTCATCTCGGCCTCAGGGCACGGGCCAAAGCAGCAGGTCCCTGCCCATGAGCTGCACCCATGCTCCAACACGGAAAAGTRGAAAGAGGATTCCAGCACCGCCTGTCGCCCGAACTCTGCCATTCCTGGGCCCTCTGGCAGCGGCACCTCTCGGAGCAGAGCCAGCACTTCCCAGGTCAACGAGGTGCCCTCATCCCTGGAGCCAGGAACCTCCTTCCCAAGCTGCCTCCCGAGTCTCACCACAGATCCCCACCACCCCTCACGTGCCCGCAGCCACCTTGCCAGCTTTGTTTTCTCCACCATTTTCCTGCATTCAGTTCCCTGAGGGCAAAGATCTTTCCGCCCACCACAGGACACACGGGATGCGGGAGCTCCCCTTTGGAGGCYGGGAGCAGCATTTGACTCCGGTGTCTCTTGCTCATGAGGCGCCCATCACACCAGGCTCATCCCCGTGCTTCCAGCTCCCGCCGCCCGCAGAGCCAGGCGCCTCCCGGCCTGGCCGGCCACCCCAGGGCGGGTTTAGCCTCTGTGTACACACACGCACACGTAGACACCACGTACGTATTGTAGCTACAGCACGTGCACACACACACGCACACAAGCCCCTGCGCAGCCCCTACACGCAGCGACGCATGACGGTGGCAACCGTGACTTCTGGTGGCCGTAGGTGGCCACRCACAGGGGATGTCACAGACACCGAGCGAGGCCTCCGAGAGGCGAGGCACACCAAGGCACCGCTTGGACGTGCCCTACGGATGATGCACCCACTGCATCCAGTGGCGACCACGAGGAAGACCCCAATGGCCTGGAGACCTGGGCCTCGCTCCGGCTCCAAGAGCAGACTCACTAGGCGTCCCCCGCCGCCCACGGGGTCTGCGCCAGCCCGCAACTACTCCAAGCGCTCCCGGGGCAGAGCTGGGCGAGGGGCTGGAGGCCACGAGGGCAGAGCGAGGGCTTTGCCGGATGGCAGCAAGACAGGAGAGCGGCGACGTCAGAAGGCGGGAACAACCCCCCACACCGGGCAACGAGAGGGCAGGCCGCCGAGAGCGAGATGGCGAGCGCAAGCGCGCGGAATGGTCAGCGAAACCCAAGGCAAAGGGGTGGGCGTGAAAGAGGGGTGCCCAGGGACGTGGCAGGCGGGAAGGAAGAGGTGGATGGAGAGGCAAAAGAGCCGGAAACCAAAGTGCTGTCCTCGGAGGGAGTGAAAGTGCTGAGGTGAGCGGGGAGAGCGAGGGCAGAGCGGAGGGGTGAAAAAATAAATCAATGGAAACAAATAATACCTAGGCATATCCGAATCAAGAAACTGCCTGCGAAAACACAAAACAATCACATGGTTAGTGAGGGCTTGCATGGGCAGCGGCAGCAGCGGGGGCGAGGGCAGTCAGGGCGCCGCGGCTCCTCCGGCGTGCGGGGCGGCGCGGGAGAGGCTGCGCCACGGCGCGGGCCCAGAGCAGGATCCTCAGGGGCGAGCGGCGAAGGCCGCGCACGAGAGCGGGGCTGCAGGCCGGGCTGCGTCACGCAGCGGCAACAACTCCCCTTCAGCGGCACCGGGGCCGCCGCGGAGGCTCGCGAGCACGGAAGAGCTGGGGCCGCTCTCGGCGATGAGGCTGAATGATGCGAGGGAGCAAAGCAGGGAGCGCAAGCAGCCCGAGGAGAGGGGAGAAGGGCCCTGCTCCGCCAGCCGCACTCCCTCTGCAGCGGCGCGCATCCCTGGAAGTGTGTGGGTGCCCGGCAGCGGGGAAGCACAGGCATGCTGGAATCGCCCTCTGCTGCCAGCAGCCTCCCACCCTGCTCCCTGTCCTATGCCAACCTCCCGCAGCCTCTACAGAACCACAAGAGGGCTGGAAAGAGCCCCTACCAGCCCCGGAGCCAACCAACTGCCTCCTGCAGCCGTGCAGGGCCAGGAGGCCGACACGGCCTCGCTGCTCAGCCCACGGCACCTGCTCTGCTCAGCAAAACACACCGAGCTCCCTGCCCACAGGCCACCAGCCTCCCGCGGCTGTCCCCGCAGCCATGCCGCCACCTCCAGCTCGGTACCCACGTGCTGACCTGCACCCTGGAGCCTGGCAAGGCAGCCGCCCCTGGCCCGTGGTGCTGCCGGCGTCCAGAGCCACTTCTGGTGCTCCCCAAGCCACCAGCGCCCAGCTCCGTCCTCACTCGCGCGCRTCACAGCCACCACCGCCACCGCCCTCCCCACACACACGCACTCAAACCGGCCCCCCTGCAGCCCAGGGTGGACCCCCCAGTGCTGGAGGAGCAGCAGTGCTCAGACCCATCCACACCTTCCCAGAGCCCGGAGCCTCAGCCACCGGGACCGCAAAGAAGGGTCTCGGCATTGCCAGAGACCTCACGTGCAGATGCCATTGAGGTCCTGCAGGTCTCTGACATGGAACCCCAGGTTCTCCTCTCAGTCTAGCACTGTGAGGCTGCACGGCCAGGGYCATGAGGACACGGAGCCAGAGGCAGCCCCTGGCAACCAAGGAGGTCTTGATGCTGTGAAGCCTCCGACCCTGCTGCTTCAGCACCCAGGACAAAGCCAGCACATGAGGAGAGCACCCTTGGGACAGGCTGGGTCCAAGCATGAGCAGTGAGAGCTGGGAGCCCTCAGAGTAATACATGACCAGGGAACGTTCTCCTGGATCACTCAGGACACACAAGRATCATCCGCGGGCACTAACTGGCATTTTTGGCATTGCTGCTCAGGGAACAGCTCTGGTGGAACAGACTGTGTTTAACCCAACTGTAGGAGGAGCTCGGGCCCAAATTCACTGCACTGCTAAACCCCAGGCTGGAGAGGCCTTGGACACAAGTGGAGGGAAGGAAGCAGGAAGGAGCTGCCCCCCCAGGGCTTTGGGCTCTCCCAGGGACTCCCGTCCCGTATCCCAAGGCTCTCTGTGGTGCAGAAGCAGCAGCAGAGGTCTGCAGGACCCTGCTAAGGGGCAAAGAGCATCCAAGGGAGACAGAAGCCCCCCACACCTGCCCTGTCTTTGGCCGGCCCTGACAGCCCTGTSCTTGAAAGAAGAACACAGCAAAAATCTCCACGCACCGGTCATCCTGCGAGGGGCGGATGTAGCCAGACGACAGGATGTTCAGGGACAAGATGTTGGGGTCAATGAGAGACTCGTCTGCTTCTGGGGTGTTCCGGATGCGACCTGCAAACACAGCACGGGCTCYGCTGAGCTGATGAACAGCCCTGAGAGGTCCTTCACGACATGCAGCGTGAGGGCCAACAGCCAGGCTGGGTTCAGGTCCCACCCAGGCYATCTCTGCTTACCTACAACGAGCTCTCGCACTTCCTTCCAGTGGATAAGACTGCCTGTCTCATGCACCAAGGTGACGGTGATTCTCCTCTGAATACCCTGTGACCAACAGGGAAACAGGCAGTGGTCAGCACAGCTCGTGACAGGAGGCCCGGAGCCAGGCCCAGCGCGGGGCTGCTCTCTGGCAGGCTGTACCTGGTGGAGCAGGAAGGTCCCGTGGCACGGCATGCCTCCACGGTGGTCCACAACAGCRGGGATGTAGCTAGAAGAGAAGATCGTGCTGTGAGGCCGCGTTGGGATCGTGCTGTGAAGCCCACGCGGCTTCCCATAGGCTCCAATCAGTGGACAAGTCACCAGGTAAATTTACAGCTAAATGAACTGCCTCCCTTTACCTCTTTTCTCTCCTCTTTGCAAATCAGCTGAAAACAGCTGGGATTTTTAGGTAGGGATAGTGCCAGAAGCCTGCCCACCACCTCATGTTCCCACATACTCAGCGCACCCTTTCCCTTCCAAGAGATCCCAAGGAGGAATCCTCGCTGASCTAGGACTGTGGGAGCATCCGCGGGCGGATGCGGCCGTGCAGCACAAGCGGCCACAGGAGAAATCCCCAGCGCCCTGCAGCCCGACCAGGCCATGCTGAGGAGCGAGACTTACTCGCCGTTGGCCTCCAGCTCGCAGATCTCGAAGAAGACCATCAGATCGTACTTGCACTGGCAAGGCCCAGCACTGGGRCGGGTCATAGTGCTCAGTTTCGTTGCAGGCACTGCAGCAGGTGGAAAAGACAACTTAAAAACGAGGCAGGCAGGTCCAAAGTTGCTGCTGGAGCACTGAGGAAGGCACACAACAGCACGCAGGGGAAGACAGAGCACGCAACAACATTGCTGCCAGGGGAAGACACACAGAGCCACCAGACAAGGGTGGCAGCAAGACCCACAACAGGACAGAGCACATATGTGTGGCAGACAACCACAGCCCCATGCTGGAGATCTTCCTTGAAATCAAGGTGCTTCTTCCCACAGGGGAACCAAAGCAGCGGAGAAAGGACTTCAGCACGGGGACACACACGCAGCCCAGCCCCACAGCCCYGGTGTGGACAGATCTCAAATCACTCATTGCCATGGGGTGCCCCAGCACCAGTGGGAAAGCTGAGGAGCAGCCGGAGGGAACTGCAGCCTCCTGGTGCTGGAACGGGAGAAAGGCAGACACATCCCAGCCCRCCAGAGCGAGGAACTGGGAAATAAAGAGCTCACAGCAAACCCAGGCACTCGGCTGATGGAAAACCAGTATGACCCGGGGCTCAGTGGGCTGAACCACAGCACCAACCAGAGCTATTTGGGAAGACAGGGCCAGGTGGCAAAGCCACACCAGCCTCTCCACATCCCCCAAGCACGTGCAACCTGCGTCAGGAAACCCGAGTGGCAGCTGGTTCTCCAACAGCAGGAGATGAACTCCTCCTCCTCCTCCTCCTCCTCCTACCGGGCATCTGAGCCTTCCTCACAGCACCGCTCATGAGAGGCAGGGAAGGCAGGCGAGCGGCCTCCTCCCCGTGGTGCGGCAGGAACGAGGAGGCGGCGCTGGCTGCCGCGAGCGCGTGCCCGGAGAGGGCGTCCAGGAGCGAGCCGGCCAGCGCGGCAGGCACTAAGTGTCTGAGGAGCCGCAGGGGCTTCGCTTGCTCTTCCACAGAGGGAGGGAAGCAAAGAGAAAGCCCAACGCAAAGCGCAGCAGTTACGCACGGGTGGTTAGCAACAGCGCCGGGCGGTGGGAAACAAAGTCCTACCTGGTTTGGAGAGCGGCATGACACGGGGGAAATGGCGCCGCGACGGCCTCAGCGGGCTGCACGGAGAACAGGTTTGGGTAAGATGGACTCACACACACAAAAACAAAAGGTGAAGGAGGCCCAAAGGCAGCCAGCTGCACTAGGGGCCACGCGGTCCCTCCAGCTGCCCCCACTTTCTTAGCCCCAACAACCAACCCTGAGGTAGCCTCAGGCTGGTGTCTCAGCCCCACGCCAGGCTCTGCTGCCCAGAGAGGGGAACAGGAGCCTCCCCCCCACACACAGGAGAGCTCACCTCAGGACATCCTTGCAGAGAGGTGGGAAGGGATGCTGCTGATAATGCCCAAATACTTCGAACACAATCGGTTGGCTCTTGATGTATTCAATGAAAGACTTGGTCACCTCTACGGCAATCTAAGAGAGAGACAGGAAGAGCAAGAGCATGCAGCACTGCTGCTTGGCCTTGAAAGAGATGAAAACAGGAGCAGCAGCCACTCAAGAATACGAAGGCATGAGGACCAAAGCCTCCCAAGCCAAGAAAACACCTCTCCTGGCTTGTGTGGCTGTATGTTCATGAAGCCTCACATCTACAGCCCATGGGAGGCCTTTTCCCACCCCTCAAGGCTCTCTTTGTAGCCCTTCTGGTTGGAGGATGAAATATTTGCATGCTTGGGTACAAGGCCAAGCAGTCTCTAGAGCAGAATAAATAGTCTGGGCTAGCAGCTCTTCCCAGAGGCAGCAAGGACCTACCAAAGCAGGGAAACATTTTGTGAGACATCCTTAGAAGAAAACCTGAGGGAGACTGACACAAAGAAAGCACAGCCTAGAACTTTCCCCTTGAAAAATGGGATTTTCCACACAGAAATCTACAGGAACACTCCAAGAACTGCAGCCAACTGCTCTACATCTTGAGGATAAGGCAGAGGCTTTCAAACTGTCGCATTGCAGCTGCCTTGCTTAAGGTTGGGGTTTCTGAGCTGACAGGGACAAAATGGTTGCTATGTGCAGAATGGAGGCAGAYAAGCTGGAAGGAACAGATCCCAGGAGACTTGGTGTGTGCAAAGCAGAACGGGCTGTGACAGGCAGGGAGAACAGCTCATCCTGCCACCCCCGCTAAAATCACTGGATTTAGATGATGTCAGTAACGTGTTCCAGTGCGACAGAAGTGATGACCCATCAAGGCCCATGCAGGGCATCACCTGGCACATTCTCCACCACATCTTTCCTGACGGCACAAGAATGACAACATCTCCCATACAGCTGAAATTGAATCCCCAGAGCTGGATTCAATGCTCTGCAAAGACCCCAGCTACCGTGGAGCAGAGGAAATGCCAGGCCGGGACTGGTACTAACGTTCTGGACGTGGTAGAAACCCAGAGGCGGCCCTCGCCCCGTATTCTTCAAGGGTTCTGTCGAAAAGGCCTCGTCATGGCGATGGATGAAGCTGCAAAGGAAAGGAAAGTTGTTTAGCGGCAGCAGAGCAGAGGCTGGATGTAACAAAACAAGGAAGGGAGAGAGAAGGCAGGAACCAGGAGAATCGGCCGTTCTCTCTTGGGGGCTGGATTTTGTAATCTGGGCTAGATGGCTAGGGAAAACCATCACACACTGCTCTGCAGCCCACCWAAGTCTCTGAAACACACTGGCTTTCACCAGTGACTGAACAAGGTCCCACACAGACCAAGAGGTCTGTCTAACACCCCTCAGTATTGTGTCCTCTCTTTGAAAGTCCTAGACCAGAATTATACATGGGGGCAGAGACAAGGGGATGTCTGCTCTCAACAGAGGCAGAGTGCCTGGGACATCCTGACATTTGCCTGTGCCTCTTCCTGGGGCAAACAGGGCCTGAGCACGCAGGAAGAGCAAGGGCCAGGGCAGGCCCTGCAGACTCACTTGAACTGGCAGAAGATGTCTGCGTATTCTGCTGAGATGCTGGAAGCTTGGAGGACAGTGACTCTGAAAGTGAATATACTGCCCAGTTTCAGGTGATCCAAGGCTGCTTCCAGAGGCCCGTCCATCGTAGACTTCTCTGGACTATCCAAGAGAAGGTCCTCTGGAGTCACTGTGGGGAAAATAGAGTTGTCAGTGGAAGAAATGGTCCTCCTGGCATCTGCAGATGACTCCCACCACCACCTGCTGGATATGGGCTAGTGAGGATACCAGGCTTTAGCACTTGGATGACGGACATCTCATGAGCACCGTGGGCCTGCTGTGGGGTCCAGCACTGCTACTGTGTGCTCAGCACCACCTTGTCTCCCCACCCAGCTGGTGACACCTGCCCACCTGCGCATGTGTTGTTGTTGACTTCATCTGCAGAGGGACCCACGTCACTAATCTGCCCCTGTCCTTCGACGATTCGCAGCTCCTCCTGGGAGGTTCCCGAGCGAGACATTCCTACTGGGGGGCAGGACTCGGACTGAAACTGCAAGAGGTTCAGAGAGAAATGGGATTTAGAGACACCAGTGGTCCCAAAGGTGGCCTTGCTGGGTCTGTGGCCATAGGGGATGACGCCCTGGTTAACAYTGGGTCACAACCAAGTCTCACTCACTCACCCAAAGTCACCAGAAAGCAGGGTGAACTGAGCGGCAACCCCTATGCTTCCCCAAAGGGAGGAAGGCCCCTACACAAGCAGAGAATAGGGCTGTGAACGTCAAGCATGGAGGATGGGTGCTGGGGATGATCCAGGGGCTGCATGGGACACAAAGGAGAAGGGAAAGGCAGATTGGGAGCACAATCCATTCAAACCACAGCTGATGCAGTGTGATACATGCACATCTCCAAGTGACATTCAGGCAGGTGCCATCAGCAGGTGACATTCACTGGTCAAGAGCATCATGATGGGCTGGGGACCCCATCCTCTCTGGCTCCACACGGAAAGCCACATCGCCTGCAAGGACACCTCAGCTGTACCTTCTCAAAGTGCTGGTCATCAAAGGATATTTTCGCTGTCCCCGACTGCCGCACACCCGAACCATAATCCGGGGCTTCTTCATCCGCTGGAGGAAGCGGGACAAGGAGACGTTAGCAGAAAGGCCGGGACACCCCTCTCATTGGGGCGCGGGGACACCCCTCTCATTGGGGCGCAGCATGGGCGCCTGCTCCTACCTGAGATGGCCTGGACGGCCACGCGCAGGAAGCCTTTCACTTCACCCTTCTCGCTGACGATGGCGACGCGGTGGACCAGAGGCACGGGGTAGAGCAGGTTGCTGAGGTACACGAAGGCCCTGCCGGGGGGAAGCAACACAAGAAAGCGGTCACTGCTCCCCATGCTGGTGACACGCGTGGCAGGCCACCAGCAGCCGGGATCACAGGTCACCGCTCACATCACAACATGGTGCTGCAAAGCAAAACTAAAGAGAGGCAGCCAGGGCCAGCCGGAGAGGGGCAGGGAGCGGGGACACTCAGCGGATGGGAGAGCAGCACTACGACAAAGTCAGGCTCCTGTGCCGGTCACGATGAAGCAAAGGTGGCAGCGCGGCATGAGGGCTAGCATACCTCTTAGTCTGTCATCTCTCCCGGGTGTGGGACAGCGCCGTGGGGAGGGGAGAGGGGACGGGGACTGTGCTGGTGCCACAAGGAAGCTAGGAAGAGGACCCTCTTGGCAGTGACGAGCTGGAGGACTAGTACGGAAGGTGCTGTGAAACAAGTTGGGGGCTGCTGCGGAGTCGGAGTGTGCGGAGGAGAGGGGAGGGGAGAGGCGGGGRAGGAGGGAGAGGCCAAGGGGAGCCAGGGAGAGCAGGAGAGGACAGAAGGGAGAGGAAAGGGCAGGTCCTGCCTGGAGCCTGGGAGGGTCCTGCCTATGGGGAGGAATCTGCTGGAGCTGCGAGTCTACCTGGTCCCCRGCTCCGCTGGGCAGCGCCAAGTGCTGCCAGTGCCACCACGGGGAGCCTTGAAGAGGAGGAACCAGATCCCGCTGTGCTCCTGTGCGCCCAGGCACACGCCGGGCTGCATGGAGACAGCCGGGGGTCCTCAGCAAGGGCCGTGCCGACCGGCAGGCTTCTGGAGCTCAGGCCTGGCCTTCTCCRGAGGCCAGCGGCATCTCGGTTCCCTGCAATGTCCTCAAGTCAGCCCCAATTCCCACAGGGGCCATTCCCTAGGCTTGGGTGCTCTTAGGGACAATTCCCTCCCGTCACTGTCAGCAGCACAGGACGCAGCTTCTGAGCGGCGACAGGCATGCAGAACGAATGGGCCTCACGTTGCCTGTGGGGCATCATCAGCCCAACGTGCTGGCTTCCCTGCTTGTGCAAAAAAGGGACTACCCACCAGGCTAGCTCAAGCTGGATGGGGATGGCGACAAGTAGGCTGCAGGTACTCCTCTGCCCGTGCTGCCTTGATCAGCAGGGTGCACATGGGCTTGCCAGGTCACAGCGCCCATTGCTCTGCACGTGGCTTCGTCTTGCTGCCGTCCTCAAACTTGCAACACGCCRGGGCCAGCAGGTCCCTGTCTCACATGGGGCTCACTCCGGGAGCTGGGGTTGTGGGGGGCCCCTGCGCCTGAGAAGCAGGACTCAAAGGTCCTGCACGTGATCGTGCTGTGACTGGTCAGCGGTGATTGGTCATTGCCCCACATCTTCAGCAGCAAACACCACGCAGAGCTGTGCAAAGTGCCATGGCCTGTAGGTCTGCACCACCCTGCAAGTCTGCCAGGGTGCTGCCCTCCTCTTGCCATCCACGCAAGGTGACGTGGGGTGCATGGAGTGCAGGCCAGTAGCTCGCACCTGCAGGGATCCATAACTGTCTTCATGCACAATGCTGTTGTATTCTTTGAGCTAGGATCATGCTGGGAACTGCCARGACGTGCTTGCTTGGAGGCTTCCAAGAGGGCAAGGAGCATCTCCAAGCATGTGGTTTCCTGTCTCCCAACTTCCTAACCTTGCAGATGTCCTCGGGGAGGTCTGAACAGGAGAGCTGAGGTCTGGACAGGTGCACAAAAGCCCAGGAAACTCTTGAAGGAAAGACATAACCCTGCATGCTCCGAAGCAGGTTCCAGTGTGACGTCCAACCTCAGCCTTCAAGTCCAAAGGCTCCCCCTGCTCTTACAGCTTCGATCTCAAACAGCYGGCTGGGGCTTTTTCCGTGCAAAGCAATTTCAGAGGAGTCAAGTCACGGGAGCAAATGTAACCCCTCAGCAATCATCTCACACAGGACAGTCCTGCCAAGGTTGTTCTGGGACCCTGGAGCAACTTCCCTTCCGGACAGGGAACATATTCCCATGCCAACCCCAAATGACCCCTTGCCAGCGCTGGTGGCCCGTAAACACTTCCCATTTCCCCATGGGCAAAAAGGGTCTCAGCTCCAGCCCRGAATCCTAGGTGGCCTCCTCCCTGCTCAAAGATGACAAAGGTGACAGATGGCAGGGCCACCCCGCGGGGCACCTGGCTGAGAAGAGCCTGCAAGAACCTGTCAGGAGGTTCCTCATGAGTATGAGGCTTTGGAAAGCCCTGCCTGTCCAAAGGCTGCTCTGCCGCCACATGGAGCCCTGGGGCAGCTCATCCTGAAGGCAACTGAGACCAGGAAGGTAAAGGGGGGAGGAAAAAGGGAAGAGGAGAGAAGGAGGAGGGAAGAGAGGAGAGGGACAAGTGTGTCACTAGAGGAAGGAGGGYAGGGACACTAACCACAAGATTGGTGAGGTGCAAAGATGGCATGCTCAGACCAAAGAAAAGCCTTTCCAAAGGAAGACAGAAGTGAAAGAACCCCAATTTTCGCTAAAGCTTTGGAGAGAGAGAGCCAGCAGCTAAAAAAAAAATTAAAAAAATAAAGAAAGAAAATAAAAAAAATCAAAGACAAGGATCCAATCATCAACCAATCAAAGCACACTTCACGAGAAATGTGATCGGCACAGCTGCTGCGCGGGGAGCCAAATCCAGGTCAGACTCAAAAGAATTTGGACAACTCCAAAGGGAAGAGCTCCTGGGAACATCCCCCCAGCAGCAAGGAGGGGGCCGCTGCGTCAGGGGCTTGGTTGGCAGTTTGGTCTGTTTGTTTTTCAAGATGTCCCCGAGAGAGGGAAAAAAAAAAAAAAAAAGGAAAAAAATAAAAAAAAAAAAAAAGGTGGAAGAACCCAGCTCTTTCGGTCTGAGGCTGCAAGACTCGTCCCCCATCTCCCTGCGCTGCTCCTTTCCGCTCCCCACCTCACTCCCGCTCCCCAGCTCCTAGTTGTCAGCGGAGGAAGGAGGAGCCGGCGTTGGACACGCTGGCCAAGAAGAGCCGCAGCTTCATCATGTCGGTGGACACAGGGCTCTGCACCTCGACATGGAGGGGCCACTTCACAGAGGCCCTTGGGGAGCCTCTTGGCTTCCCAGGGCTTCCCACCGCGGCGGGTGGAGGTTCATGGCCCTGCTCYGGGCACAGGGGCCCGTCCTGCAATGGACAATACCTGAGGCAGAGCGAAGCGAGCCAGCATCAGCCCTGGCCCTTTCGGGCAGGGCGGCTGTCGACTGCCCGCTCTCCAGGTGCGGATGGTGCTGTGGAGTCTGCAGGACTTCTCCAAGCCAAGACTGAACCAGCCTGGCGGTTCCCTATCAAAAGGCAAGAGAAAGGAAAGCACTTTTCCTTCTCTGGTGGGGAGGAGAAGCTGGAGTCCCACAGCTTGGGTCTCCCTGGACGGACTGCTGCGAGACCACAGGGAAACCACTCCTGTCCGAAAGCTGGACAGCAGCAGCAAGACAAAATAGACCTTTCTAAGGAGACCTCCTCGCCCTCCCGAGCCCCGGATGCTCCTTGGCGTCCCGAGGGCTCCTGGAGAAATGCTCCCGCTTCTGCTGCCAGCCTCCACTCCTCGCCTGGGGCCGATCTCTCCTTGCCTCACAGCCCGCTGCTCCCCGCACTGCCCAGCCCCACTCCTCACTGTGCTCGGACATCAGCTCGTGTCCACCAAGCCCCTCGCCCGCAAGCAGGTGCGTCCCCCCCAGCTTGTGCCACCGCCAATGTGCCCRCCAGCCGTACAAGGGCTGGCAGGAGGTGGCCCTTGCTCGGAGGGATGTGCCTTCAGAAGGCTCCCAAAGCGAGACCCTGACACACGTGCTGACCGAAGGGGACTTCTCCAGGTGGGTGCCAAGGCGACAGGAAGCCTCGCGTGTCTGAAGGGCCCCTGGGCCGCTGTCCCGACACCGGGGAGGCTGCGGGCCCTGCCTGACAGGCCTTCTGCAGCCCCGGCCGCCTTGGCACGAGCTGCCTTCCTCGGCGCTCCCCGCTGATGGCCAGGCTCCCTCGTGCTTGCCACAGCCCTACCTCACCGGCCCTCGCGTGGCCCCGGCGGCCGAGGCTGCCCCGGCCGGCCGGGCCACCCCCTGTGCCTACGGGACACGTGCCACTCGTGTCAGAAAGCAGTCCCCTCATGCGAAAGAGCTAGTTCCTTCCCAGCATGCTCTCCTAAGACCTCACCAACCTTCCTACTAAACTGAACAGGGGGGAGCGGTCGTAAAACGGATCCCGGCCATCACACAGCGGGCACTCCGGAAAGATGTCTTCCTCCAGGTCCTCCGCCTCCTCCTCCTCCTCCTGCCCCTCGTGCTGCTCGTCAGCAGGCTCGGTGATGTCGGAGTCGGGGTTCGAGAAGGTGGGGGAGGGGGTGAGATCAGCCATGCGCTCGCTCATGCATGTGTTGAAAAGAGGAGAGCTGTTGCAGCCAGAGATATCTGAACTAAGGTTAGTACAACAAGATAGAAGACAGGTTAACACCAGCTGTTCCAAACAGAGAGAGCAAGAATAGGAATTTCGCTTTTTTCTTTCTTATTTTTTTTTTCCTTTTTTTTTCTTTTTTTTTTTCCTCCGCTTAAACCAAGGGACGTGGGGATATAAAAGACCTGCCCATCCAGCGAGTCTTAAAAGGAAGCGTCCAAAGGCCGCCGGCTATAAAGCGTGGAAAAACATGAACAACTGAACAAACTGGTGCGAACGGTGGGGGATTCCCAATGCTGGCCTTGCGGGGAAGCCGGCAGCGCCGGGGAAGGACGCCCGGCTCGGTGACGCCGCTGCCATCGAAGGGAATCGCTCCACGGGTGCCACGTGGCACGAGGGGTGATGCCTCCACGCCACGCACGTTTGGTCGGGTTCTGCGGGGCCGCTGCCCGTCTCGGGGCGGTCTCCCCTCACCGCCGGCGCCGCATCCCTTCCAAGCGGCGTGTGGGAAGCACATGGAGACGCATGGCACGTACCGCACGGTGCACACACAGATGCTCAGACAAGAACGCCCACGTGTGCGCACACACAAACACACGTCCGCGTGCCCACGGGACTAGGCAGCAAGGGGTCTCAACCTGCCCTCCCGCCAGCCGCCCCTCCGCGGCCGGGCTGCCCTTCCCCAGCCCCACGTCGCCAAGAAGGGGAAGGAAAGGCCGGCCAGGCCCCCCCCGCCTCCCACCAGCGGCAGGTTGAGAGCCCAGGCCTCGTGGCAGAGCTTGCCGGAGGCAGCAGGGAGGTTACCCGTGGCTGGTGGTCCCGGCACGGTCCCGGCAGAGGAGCGTCACTGTTGGCACGAGGGGCTCTGCCCACYGGCCTTGCCACTGCAGGGGCTCAGTGCTCTCCCCAGGGGCAGCTGATGCCTCGTGGTGCTGCCCTGGGGACAGCGACGCCCTCTGCACACTGACGCCAGCTGCGTTCCCTCCTGCACGGCTGCCTTTGGGCGCAAGATGCATTTGGGAGGAGCCCAAGCACTCACCTGCCAACCAGCCTGAACCACGGGAAGCGGTCATAGAAAGGGTCTCCGCCTGTCACCACATTGTCACAGTCCTCGATGACGCTAGAAGGCACTTCGGCTGCACGGTCRTACATCTCACGCATCAGGTCCAGGCGCTGTCTGCAGGTAGGAGAGGAACCCAGGGGGCAGTTATGAGAAAACACAGCTGGCTCAGCCCTCCTGGAGCCCACACCGGCCCAGCAAAGGCATCTCCCACCCTACCTGAGCTTTTCCAGCGTCCAGTAATGCGTTGCTCCATTCTTCTGGTCTTGCACCTCTACAGCCACAATGGTACGGGGGAATGGCCGCTTCTCCCGGTCCTTGGCAGCATCAGGAGGCAGGAGGTCAGGAGGGAGAGGCGAGTACAGCGTGTCTGTGAGGAGCACGAACTGGAACTGGACCTGGAAAGGGGCACACAGRGACAGCGACCCACTCATGAGTGACTTGAGGGCAATGGGCTCCCTGCAGTACCTTTAGCCTGGGGGAAGAGTCTCGTGTGCTTTCTGAATCTCCTGCAGCAAGAAGAGACAYTCCTTCCCTTGAACAACACCTGCCCACACAGGGTCTACCTTGTGTCCTTTGCTGCAGCTSATCTATGTCAAGTGGAAGCTCTAAGAACTGACTTACAACTAACAGAAAAAAAAGGATTATGGCCCATTTCTCATAATAGCAGAACTCAAAATGACCCTTAGGTGGTTGCAAACAAGCACAAGGAGATGCTCTATAGTCCACTGAGGAGGTAATTTTGCCCAGCAAAAACATTAACATTTTCAAAAGGCAGGTGCATAAATCCATGCGAAAAAACGGCTCAGCAAAGGTTAATCATGAAAATAGCCGTCTGGGTGAAGAATTCCATGAGCTCCAAGTCCCCGGAGGCTGGAGAAGTTTACTAGGGAAGTGTCACAGTCTGCCTGTGATATCTTATCCCTCCTGCATGGGAGGGATGGGACCCAGGGGACCGCCCTGGGCCTCCATCTGGTTGAACTCCTGGGTCAAAGTGACCCATGTTCTCATCCAGGCTGCTCATTCTTGTGTTTTCCAGTCTTTGAGAACAATCCAGCACACTTGCCTTCCCTCAAGGATTCACCCCTGTGGGAACACATGCATGCTCATGATGGTGCCGTGCCACGAGCAGCCTGCTGCAGCTCAGCCCTTCGGAACACAACACCCGACCTGCTTGCTCAGTTCACGGGCAAGCAGAGGTGCTAGTTTTCCTGCAAAGCAGGGGAGTGAGCGCAACCTGAAACACCTCGGTGATGGAAACCAGAGACTGCAGCCCGTGGCACCAGCTACTTACTTTTTTCTTTAGCTCCACGCTGATGGCGTTGGCTTCTTTTAGGAAGATGGCATTGCCCCAGAGCAGGTCGCGGAGAGAGGTGAACTGGTACCACTTCCACTTCCTGAAGGCCCAGAGGGCTAGCTCGAACTCCCGCTCGGTCCACTGCACTGTGGAGACACGGGGGACAGTCACTCACCGCATGGCACCGAACACGTGCCCGGCCCCAGCTGCCATGGCGAGAAGGGGGGACGTTGCGGCAGAAGCACCTAAGGGACTACGGTTTGCTCTTCTCGCTCCTTAGCTCCTTCCAGAGCATCAAGACCTACTACGGTGAATGGTGCCACAGRGATACCACAAAAGCACCTTCGCCCAAACCCCAGAAGACCAGGGATGCAGGAAATGGGATGGTTATTCCATGTGAAACAACACTGCCAGTTCCCAGACACCTTCTGAATGGAGCATGGTAACTGAACACAATCCTGCAACACAYATTTCACACATCTGGGGCCATCCTGTCACTTTGTTCAAGGTGTGAGTACAATTTTTGACAGCTCCACAGTCCCTCAGCAATTCCAGGGAGTTTTACCATGGCTTCTGAGCCAAAGAGAGTCAAGCTGTGGGCTATTGTACAAAATATTGCTAAGTTCATCCTCGAGGGCGAATTTCTGATCTGCTGCCCTTTGAGAAACAGAACAAAGAGTTCTCAGAGACGGGAAAATGGTTCATGAAATATCCTCCTGGCTATTTTCTGATAATCCTCAGAGAGGTTCTGCAATCATAGCTTGCACTGTTGACTCTTTCTGTCTTCATTCTAAAATCTTTCCTCTTATCTGTTCTTAAGCTCTTTTTTATTAACACTTCCTGAGAAAGGTTGACGGGAATGAGGTAAAGCTGAGACTAGTGACACAAAGCCAGCTCTCCTCTCCCTCCAAATACATCTGCACCCAATATATAACATAACACACCTGGACTTGTCCTCTCCTGCCTACCCACCATGTTTGATCTCTCCTTTGTCACTCAACACTCACCTTCATCTTCAGGTTCTTCTTCTTCCTCATTGGCCTCAGGATAATACCTGGAGTCCATTTGCTTCTGCAAAGCTTCCAGTTTACTCTCATAGTCCTAGGGGAAGCAAGAGGAAGAATGATGCCACTCCCAAAGCCTGATTTTCCTTGATACTGACCACCTTTTCTGTCACATCACATCTCGCTTTCGTCCCTCCCTAAAGAAATCCAGCCTCCTTCCTCCTCCAGATTCATGATCATGGACAGCTCCAAGATTCACACAGCAGGTCTCCAGAGCACCTTTGCTTTCTGAGAAACACAACCATCTCTGGCAAGCCCAGCCCAGCCAGGACCTGGCATGTGAGGAAGAGTCAGGTCTGGCCACCTACCAGCCTCTGCTGCTCAAGAAGGTAATTGGCCTCTTCCCTCTCCTTCCGGTATTGGTCCTCCAGTTCCTGAAGCCTGAGAGGGAGGGGAAGAAGAGCATGACAAACCTGGGTATAGATGTCTCCCTCCTGCTGGCTGACTTCTCTCTTGTCCTTCTCCTACTGCTGTGTCCCACCCCTCACCTCTGCTCCATCTCCTGCTTCATGTCGATGCCCTGCTTCTCCAGCAGCTCTCGCTGCGCAAAGGCCCAGTCCACAGGTTCCGCGGGCGTCTCCGCGCACGGCGTCCGCTCCCGCTCCTGTCGGGCCTGCTCGGGGTGGTTGAAGCGGAACACGTGGCTCTTGCCCATGATGATGCGGTTTCCTGGGGGGGTGCACAGGGAAAGGGCTCAGGGCTGACCAAGGAGGAGCCCAGAATTCATGGAAAGACCCACCAAGCTGCAGGGGCCAAGGGGGTGATGTAGGTTACAGCAGCTGCACCGTGTTGTCAGGGCCCAGGGTTCCATGCCCCCAAGTCAACCCTCTTCAAGTGCGGGTCCTACCTGATCGCAGGACACTGGGCTCCGTCACTTTTTTGCCGTTCACGTAGGTGTCAGCGCCTTCACAAGGCTCTAAGGTCACAATTACTGGAGGGACAGCAAGAAGGGGAGAGAAAGGGGAGGGTACATAAGTCACGAGTGATGCCACAAGATGATAGGATTCCACACGAGGGGCATCCTGGGTCTCCTGGAGCATGGGGAAAAATGGGCTGCCTCAGATGGTACCCCAGGCATGGAGTGCTGGGACACTAGGGTACCCCAGCAGCACCCAAACCTGGACAACCAGCAGGGAACTCAACATTGCTCAGCCAGTGCCATGTCAATCAGAGCAGCCCAAGGACCAAGAGCAGGCAGAGACTAGACAGGATCAGATGTCCTGCACCTCCAGCCTTCCCAGACCCATCTTGCAAGGGATTTTCTCCCCAAGGGTGGCAGGACTCSTCACCAGCCCGGGCAGGGACTAGCACAGCCCACGGCAGGTACTGGCACCCACTGGGGACACTCAGAGGGACCAGGGTGTGGAAGCAACCCAGGGACATRGGGCCTCTTTGAGCAGGGAGTACCTTCCCCTCCACTCCTCGTGTCGCTGCGGAAAAGGCAGTGCTCTTCTTTAATGAAGTGTCCGCTGAGAACGATGTCCTGCCTCTTCTCTGCGTCTTCCCGGCCAACCCTGCCAAAGGACATACAGCTCGAGGCTTCTCTCCCCTTCTTTACCTCAGCCCTTTTGCAGCCTCCGCTCAGAAACAGCCTTTCAACTGACCTGAGCAGTCCTCAGGGCTCAGTGAGACCAAGGTCCCTAATGAGACTGCCCTCGCAATGCACATTTCCCCCCATGCCGCTATGTCATTTTGGTGATGTCCAGAGGACTGCGTGCCCAGGCCAGAGGCAAGAGGGCAGGCTCCCTGCTTGGTACTCCTGTGCTCCACCTTGTAGCCCACCTTGGACACATGCTGCYCTGGGAAGGCAATATCCTGAGCTGTGGGCTCTTGCTCCTCACCTTGTTATCCCATCCTTGATATAGTAGAGAAGGCACTCCGACATGAGCGGGTCTTCGTTCAGGTTGACCAAGTGGGGTGTCTGGGAGAGAGGAAGAAAGCGTCAGCCCTGCCTGCTCCTCRTGTATGTGGTGAGAGCCTGACTGCCCCAGAGCTCCCACACATGGCCTGGATGCTCAGCACGCAGGCAGAGGCTCCACATGCTCCTCCATGCAAGGATTAAGGGTTATTCCCCCCACCTTCCCTCCARAGAGCCAACACTTAGACAGCAGAAATCAGAAATCAGAAGTTCAGAGCGGGTTTGCAACCCCTTGGTCCCTGCCTCTTAGCACAAGGGCTCCACACACGTTAGGAAACCAACCTCAAAGCCTCTCTGGTGACCACACAACGGGCTCTGCAGTGACTCCCTACCAGGTCAGCCCTCCACTGAGCAGGACCCCTCTGTCCACAGCCACTGATAAACCAACCTGTGGTGCTGCTTCTGGCCTAACCTGGAGAGCCGCTGCGTTGTACATCAGATCCAGGGACAAGTGATCCTAAAGGTCCTACAAAGGCTTTAGTTAAAGCTCCACGTCTTCACGTGTCTTAGTTTTCCTCTTCAAAATGCTGTGGTCGGGGCAATTTTTCCCAGGCACTGGTGCCATCACAGGCTGCTGAGGAAAACTAGCACTTGTGCATCCGCACGTGGAAAACTGGCCCAATACAGAGCTAAACACTTCACAGGAGGAGTCCTTGAACAGACATGGCTGTTCTTGGGCCTCTGGCCAACGACCAGGCAGGACCCTGATAGCCTGTGGTGGGTGTTTGCAGCCTCTTGTGTTATGCACCTGACAGGATGCAGCTGAGATGGACACACTTCCCACRCAGGCAAAAATCTTAGCACTGAGATCTAAAAGTGCCTAGTTTTCTTCTCCTGATGATACAARCACAGATGGAGCACCCAAAGGGACAGGTTCCTGTCTGGATGTTCATCCAAAGCCTGTGGCAGAGTGGAGATMTGGACCTGTTTCCCAAGGCTGAGCTTCTCCCTGGCCTCTTTCTTATCAGCTGCCTCACAATGATTTCTTTCCCAGGAGCCAAAAACCACTCCATTCTCGATGGGAGGAGCATTTCTCCCCTGACCACAGGCCCCTGCAACTGGAGTTAGCTCATCCGAACCACTGCAGAATGCTGTGACTGCAGCTTCAGTCAGGAGGCAAAGTCAAGGGGACACTAACAGGTGAAGCTCCGAGTTTTCCAGAAATAGGAAATGAAATTGTAAGAAATATCAGCCCGTTGACACAAAGCATGCAGAGATTTGCCCTTCGGAAAAGAGCACTGAACCCTGACTGATCCAAGAGATTCTCTCCGAACAGTCCAGGAGAGCTGAAGATCAGCGGGAAATGCAGGCTCTTCTCCACAGTAGCTGCCAGGAAGAAGCTGGCCGTAACATTTCACGAGGCCTCTCTGAGCACACAGGTAGCCCCTGGGCTTCAGGGAGGAGCTCTGAAACTCTTTAGCTTGCAATTTTTCTCTGGATTTGCAAGGTTTGCTAATAGAAAGCAAATGTTTTAACTCCCATTGAGCTCCTTAGGGTAATAATTACACCAGTGAGGGCACCGAGCAGGGCAACAAGGTCCCTGTGGTTTGCTCTCCATCCAAATGGGCTTGGCCAGCTTTCCACACCAACCTTCCTTGCCAGCAGCTGGAGAAGCCACAGCAGTTTCCACCCACTAGAGAGCTGGAGAATAAACAGGCACCAAGAGCACCACAGCAACCCCTTCCTCCGAGACCAACCTGTTTAGGGGAATAAACCCCTACGCTTTCTACATAAACATCGGGGGACCTAACAGGCAGCGGCTGAGACAGAAATGAAAAATAAGGAACACGGGGTAAAAAAATGTTGCATTAGCCACACTGGGACAGAGGTGAGGAAGAGCCCAAAAGGTTCAGCACTKGGGGCCATGTGGAAGCTGGGAACAGACCCTGCTCTCCGGGACTTTGCATGGTCTCAGCAGGGTTGCAAGGGCTGCATCTGCCAAGACATGTGGCCGGACCAACCGTGGCAGAAGCTGAGGGCTGCTCTCTGCCTTGCCTTGGTGTGCAGAGTGTCCCATTGCATTCATTTCTATCAAAATAACCGCCGTCAAACACCAACCTGGTTTGTTTATGCAAGCATTGCACTATGAAGCATATGCTTCAGAGTGAGCAGCCCACTGTAACCAAAGGGCAGTTYGTACTGCAGGGGGCTAATCAGAAGTGACTGGGACTGGTCTGTTGGGACAAGGCAGGGCTGAGGGGCTGGAAACTGGTCTGGGGGTGGAAACTAGTCTCCTAGACTGTGAAGAAGAGGTTAAGAGCTTATCCTACCTTCTTAGGAGAGAAAACACCCAAGGTGCCTCCGTCCTCCCTCATGGCCACCCCCATTTCGGCCAACAAGGCTTCCCTGAAGGAGCAATGGAGAAAAGAGGCTGTCAAAGCCATGTGAGCCCCCCACCCCAGCCCCACGACCGTCACCATCCATTGGCCTTGGAGAACAGGCCAGAGCAGTCCGGAGCAGCAAGGTGCTACGGTAAGCTGGCCTTGGGTTAGACTATGTCTCTACTGGTGGAGCTCCACTTTCCAGTTCTGGCTCAACTGGCAGCCATTTGGCTGGGCTCTCTTCCATTCCCAAGTGTGGATGGCTTCACTCACACTACACAGCCTGTGTGAAGTCCCAGGGACAGTGCTAGTCGATCTGGGACAGCACTGGGCCAGAGTGAGTGCTAGAGGAGCAGGAGGCAGGAGGCAGGCCCATGCTCTGACCTGGGTTATTGTGCTGCTGGGGACATCATAGCCTTGGTGCCTGTCTCAGCTCTGTCTGTGCCTCAAGAGCATTTCTCAGAGCAGTCTGTGTCCCTAAATGCTAATATGGCTGGTGCTGGAGCTGCGTCTCACTGACTGAACTGCTCCAGTGAGCCACAGAAGAGGCGAGAGCCGGCGTCGCCTCACCCACCTCTCCATCCGGATGGCTTCTGTCCTCCGCAGCTTCTCCTCCCAAGTCTCGTTCAGCTCAGCAATGATCTTCTCCGTTTCCTGGTGGACACAAGGCACAGGTTAACATTTTGCAGGGGCCACAGACGGTCAGGACCCCGACTYATCAAACCAGGAGTCCGGGAGGGTCGGCGATGTCCCCAGCACCGCGCAGCCACTACGTCTGCCACCAGAGCACCAGAGAATGCCACAGGTCCACGTATCACCCTTCAGGAGGGCACCACATCTTCCCGGGCTCTTACCTTGAGCCTTTCGATGGCCTCTTCACTGCCTGGGGCAAACATGATGCGCTCGTGGAGGCTGGCGACAGAGGCCGCCCGGCTGGACAGGGCTGACAGGGAGGAAGAGGGGCTGATCCCGGCAATGGCATTGGTCACTGTGGAGAGATTGTCAGGGCGTTGACTCAGTTCAGCCACTCTAGGGGTACTGTTATTGTTCTCAAAGTCGGACACATCTACAGGCGGGGAAGGAGAGGAACGGAAGGGAGGAAAGACATATGGAGAGGAAGAAGGAAGAGAAAGAAAAAGATAGAGAGAAAAAAAGCTGTTGGGAAAAAAAAAAAAAAAAAAAAAAAAAAAAAAAAGCCAGGTTTGGCAAGAAGGAAGCCAGGAGCTAAAAGAAAAATGCATATGCATGGGCACAGCAGCACAGGCCAGCAGCAGGGTGAGGGACACTTGCACCCTCCCTTCCCCAGCCCAGTCGCCTACCCCGAATCCCAGGCAGTGCCTGCGGTGCCCGGAGCGGCTCACACGGGCTTTGCTCCCCAGCGTGGCAGGGGAGCAGGCACCAAAGAGGGTGGGGGGTGGCACGAGCTGGCCCTGTGATCAGAGACGCTCCGGCTGCGGAGCCCCGGGCAGCCTGTGCCCAGCTTGGTGCCTCAGGTCGGAGGTTGCCAGCGCTCGGGTTAGGCAGGGTGGGAGCAGGCAGCGTTAGTCAAAGCTCCCATTTCCAGAGGACTGGAGCCCTGTGTTGCTCTGTGTCTCCAAAAAAGGGGGCAATGGCAGGTTGCAGGGGGAGTTCGGGGGGTTCTCGTAGGGCTCCGGCACGTGGAGGGACTGTGGCTCATATCAACGTCTAGAGATCAGTGCCCTGTCTCCCTGCCAGGATCATCACAGGCCGGTTTCGTGGCGGGGGCACCTCCACATTCCCTGTCAAGGAGCCATGGCCAAACCTTAGCACTTGTAGTGGGTCACTGCACACCTCCCCACCCACCAGCTGTTAGCAGAGGGCTCTGTCTCAGCGTGCCGAGCACAAGGCTGCGGTATTAGTGTCTGGAAACCACCTGCCACCCATCSATGGCCCTGGCATTGGGCGCTGCGATGGTACACGCACCATTCCTGCTCCACAAACAAGCACGGGAACCTAAACCCAGTCGCTCTGGGAAGTCTCCCCACCAACAAATCTGCTCCGTTCCTCTGCTGAGCGCAGGGCAACCCTCGGCAGGACTGGTGCTGTGTCACTGGGGTGTCTAATGCCACCTGCACTGGGTCTTGCCTGCCTGGTTCTGTTTGCACCCAGGAGCATGGCCAGTGCCTTCACGAGCAGACCCAGCAGCAGAGACCAGTGTCAGKGCCAGCAGAAGCAGCAAGAGCAGCAGAAGCAGGAGGAAACATAGTTACAGCATGGAGGAAAGAGTCCTTCGGCAATCGGTCTCCATCACCTGCATGTTGGAAGGTGCTGAATACAGCAGCAACTTCCCACCTGCAGGAGAAACCCAAGAAGAGTCCTGCGCAAAGCCCGGCTGAACACAAGACCCCTCTCCTTGGGCTTGTCCAGCATGGAGCTGCCACCCAGGCCTGTGTTCCCTTAGGGCAGAGCCAGCAGCAATGGGAGAGGCCGGGCAGCTCAGCCCCTGAGGGAGGCTGGAGGACCCCTCTCAAAACCCCACATGCTGACCTGTGGATTTAAGGCAACAAGGCAGGGGTTWGAGCCCAGGCACACAGCACTAACCCTCTGCTGATGCCCCTTTCCTCATGTCTGCCTGAGAGCAAGCCCACTTCCAACAGCCAGCGCTGGCTATTGGAGCCCTTTCCCATGCTGTACGTATGTTCCTTGGCTATGCCTAGGTCTTCCCAAAGCAATGAAGCCACACAGAATACCAGTGATGGGGAATACACACATTTGGATCCTCCTGCAGCAGGGTTGGCTAAGAGAGAGAGAGAGGGGGCAGGGAGCAAGGAGAAAGACAAAGAAAACAGAACAAGAGTAGGTTCATCTCAGTAGGCTTTACGACCACCTGAAAAGCACACGGAGGAGAGGCCATGGTTGAGCTCAGCCCCAGGGATGAATTCCTGGCACCTTTGCGGGTCACATCCACGGGGAAGCTGAAGGGAGGACACGAGGATGGGGTGGAGGTGGAGGGGAGAAGGTCTGTTGGGTGTAAGGTACATCCTCTGGCTTTATGGGAGCAGCAGGGGAGTCACAAACACGTGTGGGACTAGCTGGTGGATGTCCCAGCTGGTGTAGTGATAGTGGAGAGGAACGGCTACACCTCAGTGATGTGACATTACTCCATGGCAGGGYGGGCAGTGAGACGGCTGAGCCACAGAGCAGGATGTCGGGCAGCTCCAGGCATGGCCCCGTGGGCTCGGTGGGCAAGGAGAGAGCAGCCCAGCACAGCCAGGAGTGAGCGCAGAGTGGTACGTACTGTCAATGATGTCCCCGAGGCCCTGGGCATAGAGCAGGTCACGCAGGCGGGCCACCTCGTCCTTCAGCTCCCGGATGAGCTTGTTGTTCGGGTCCTCATTGATGACAGCGTTGCAGCGGATCTGCTTGGCACGGTCGGCATATCTAGGGACGGGGCAAGGCAGGGACAGCCGTGGGGAGGCTGCCCACAAGCCTCGTGTGGCCATATCCAGGCCTGGGACAGCAGGGCTGGCCAGAAGGGCACACAAAGCCATGGCTGCTGGGCTGCATGAGTAGTTCAGAGCCCACCCCAGCGAGGAGCCCTTCCAAGCTGCAGCTCACCAGGCAGGAGACTCCTACATGTGGCAGGGTGCAAAACAGGGGCTGCTGTTTGGGCAAGCGTTGCCAGCAACTCCTCACGACAGTCCTTTGGGCCTCTTACTCGAGGTGCCAATTGCACTGACCTCCTCACTGCCTTCCCATCGTGGGCAAGGGATGCCAGGGGAATAAAGCAGTGAGGAAGGTGATGGGAGCCCCTGCATTTCAAGCCCATCCTCTGCTCTCAGGCACTCAGGCTGACCTTCATCCCAGAGCCTACCTTAAAGTGCTGAGGGTCTCGTCATAGTTGATATCAGCAGGGCTGAGAGCAGCAACCATTGCAGTCCTGGAGTTGCCCCCTGCCCAGAGAGGTACAACTGCTTCAGTAAAATGCTGGTCGCCGAGTCAGACGTCACCTCCCTTCCCCMGTCATGCTCTCAAGTAAGCCCCGTATCGCCCATCCCTTCCTCACCCAGGTTCTCCCGGAGCAGCCAGGTGAGCACAGAGTCCCGGTACGGGATGAAATCTGTCTTCTTCTTCTTCTTGTTCTGGAGAGGGGAGAGTGAAGGGAGGTGTTGTCAGGCTCCCTGCTCTCTTTCAAAGGCAAGTTCACCATCGGTGGAAGCCAATCTGCGAGTAAAGGTTGGTTGCCCCCMGCCACATCAGGCTGACAGCAAATGGCTCTGTTCCTCAGGAGACAGTGCCCTCAAAGGAGGACTGTCCTGCTSCACCACAGTGACCTTGCCTCTGCAGTGCACTAGCTGGTCTGGGAGCTGCTTGAGGAGGGGTAGAGGGGCAGAGTGGACCTGCAGAATGGGCCAGGACAGCTACAAAGTGGTGAGGACATGACCCGTATTTGTCCAGAGAAACCCTCAGAGTTTCACCTGTAAAGGGCTTTGTGCAAACCCCCCTGCTCTCTACAGACAACCCACCCGTGATAACAGCCAGCCCCACTGCGTCCCGTTGCAGCACGTACCTTATTCGGCCCCGAATCCTGCAAAGGAAGCAGAGAGGGTGTTTACACTGTGCTGGAAGCAGGGGCTGCCGGGGGAGGGAGCTACCCCCTCCCCTTCGCTGGCATTAGAGCAGAGCCGAGGACCTTGGGGACACCGTCTGATGAGAGGGGCTCCCCCAGCCTCAGTGACATTGACAGTGTGGGGTAGGATGGGACAGATCTTCCCATCCATCAGAGCCAGGGTTTGAGCAGAGGGCACCCAAGCAAACACGAGGTGCAAGCAGGTAGGAGGAAGGAGCTAAAGGGACATGCTTTCCCCACCCTGTATGGAGCAGTATCCTTATGTGGACACCTAGCTGGGAGCAGGGCCAGGAGCCCGGGCTGCCTCCCTGAGCGCATGCACACGCAGTGAGGCCCTCCCTCCCCATGCCCATCACCCTTGCGAGGGCACGTACCATTTCAGCCAGGGCAGAGATGACTTTCCCAAGTGTGGTCAAGGACTTGTTGATGTTTGCTCCTTCCTGATGGAACAAAGAAACACCCAGATGCTCAGGTGCTTATTCCAAGCAACACAGATGGCCAGTAGGCCAGGAGGATGGGGAAGCCTCGCTACAGCATGACATACTGGGCTCCCAGCACCTCCTAACTGGAGCTTATGGACCTCAGCGTGACTCAGACAATGCCCCCCCATGAGGACTTTGCAGTCAGCACTGTGGTATGTGGGGAATTAGGAAGAGGAAGGCCACAAGCTCTGAGCTGCTCTCTCACCTTTAGTCTGGTGCCCTTTGCGCCCGTTGAGTCCGCTCGCTCGCTCCCTGCCAGGTCCACCAGGCTGATCTTGCTGACCTGCRTGCAGCAATGAGGCCCTTAGCCACAAAGAGAGAAGCCCAGTGGCCTCCCCAAGCCCTTGACAAACCCAGCCAAACCCCAATTGCACCTCCAGGGCCTGCAGTGCCCTGCACTGAAAGGAGGCAACAAACCCATCATGCAGCATGAAGCTGCTCAGAACGCAAAGGTGGTGTCTGCAAGGTCATTGCTGCAGTAGGTCGGCCAGAACTGTTGGGCAGAACTGGTCCCGCTCTCACCTTCTCAGTGGTGATGTCCGTTTCGGCGTCATGCCGTTTCTGAGTGAAGATGATGTTGAACACAGCGTGGGAGCGGCTGCTGGTTTCGTTCATGTTGGTGGCAGCCACGGTGCTGTGGGGAGAAGATGGCAAGAAGGGATGACAGTCATCAGTGCCAGGAGGCTACAACAGCTGCTGCTGGCACCTCGACTAACTTCAGGAGAGGCTAGTTTGCAGAAGGCAAATCTAGCGGCCACCAGACATGACAGGACTCTGGTACCCAGGAGTCAAGGTAGCTCAGATCCTACCTCTTGTGTGGGGCAGAGGGGAACTGTCCCCCTTCTGGTGCCAACCTCTTGTAGAGATGCAGCCCAGCCCCAGGGTTGGGGACCCCTTGGGGAAGCTGGGGACTTGAGCAGGCTTTGGACCATGTGCAAATGTCCAGACTTTCACCACCTGTTTCTGGGGTGTTTTGATAGCACTAAGGAGACAACATGAAAACAAGCCAGGTTCTCCATCTCTAGCACRTTAGGCATGAGGTAACTGTCATCTCCGCAGCAGCCACACTGGGAAATAAGGCCAGAGGCAGTGGTGTGGCCTGAGCATGGGGGAACCAAGTCCTTCTAGACCTTTCCAGCTTGAAAGGCCAGYGCCTGGAAGCAGGGAACATTTGCTGCCTGATGTGAGATTGGAGAGACCCAGAAAGAATGTGTTTCCCAGAGAGCCAGGGCAGGAGGTTACGCAGAGCTCTCTGGAGGTGTCTCTCTGAAATCTGGTTCTCCTGAAGAACTTCTGTCCTGCTTCCCCACTCACCGGGCCTTATTCCCAGAGTCCATGAGGTCCTGGATGTCATTGTAGGAGGTCACAGCCAGCTTGGAGAGGTCCTCAACATAGGGGCCCATCAGGGGGTGCTCCCTCACCCGCAGGTTGCCTTTATTCTTGGGGTTCAGCAGGTCCCTCACGCGCTCACAGTATATCTCCATGTAGCTCACCTAGGGGACAGGATCAGCTTGGAGGATGCAGGACACAGGCACCTCCTGGGGTGCATCCAGCCTCAGCCAAGYTCACTTTCAGTGCTCCSTTCCAGCCCAGCAAATGAGTACAGGCAGCAGAAAGAGGCCTCAGAAGGASCCCCCCGGCTGCCCAGCAYCCCRAGCCCAGGGACGGGGATACTCTGGAAACCAGCAAGGGGGCCTGTCCGCACCCCAACATGGGGAGTCTGCACCCCGACACAGCCCCCATCAGCTCAGTGGGTGTCCACAGCCACCCATCCCTGGGGGACATGGAGCTGGTGCTATCCAAGCAGGCCGCTCACCCGGCTGGTGGCAGCAAAATAAATGGGCCTGTTTTGTCCGTGCGTATCTGCAGGACAGGGAGGGGAAGGAAGATGGAGAAAGGATGGACAGAGTTCTGTGCATGCCTGATACAGTGGTGGGGTATGCTGGTGACAAACAAGAAACCAGCCAKGGTTTCCATGAAAATCAATAGGGTTTGTGCTCCCCTTAAAGTCACTCCGGACTCCCCTGGTCCACGGAGCTGGATGGGAGCTGCTGCAGGGCCGTGTTTGGGCTCTAGCAGCCGCATTCCCGGGAGGCCGGTGGCAGCCTCCGCAGGGCAGGTAGTGCATACCTCCACAGAGTAGGACATGTTGTCGTTGGTGGTGTCATTGATTCGGGAGAAGAGGTCCTCACAGAGCTGTACAGAGAAAGAGGCCAAGCAGCTCAGGTCCCACTCAGAGGGCAGTGCCCACCTGGGGGGCTCCCAAGCCATGAGGGTTTCTGACCTTGCCCACCTCCTCACGCCCTCAACAACCCAGAAGAGCAGARTGGGAAACACGGTCACTGCAGAAAGCAGCTGAAACGCCCCCGCTCGTGTGGAGGGGCCCCCGTGCTCAAACAAAGCCTCTTCTGTGCGGCACAGATCTCTACACAGAGCAGCTCTCATGCCCCAAGTATGAATCATTTTTCTCTTGCCATGACACCTCACTTGCCCCCTCTCGCTGCCCGCTCTCCATGCCCTCCTTGCCRTGCGTTGCCCTTGGGCACCGCGCATGGCCCGCAGCCCCGTGGCCCAGCCAGGCGCTACCTGTGGGATAATGCCCTGCTGGTCCTTCTCTTGCTTCCCCATCATGGTGTAGGATTTTCCAGCCCCTGTCTGCCCGTAGGCGAAGATGCAGACGTTGTAGCCTTCGAAGGCATGCTGCAGCATCTCCTCGCCGATGTCGCGGTACACCTGCTTCTGAGACGCATAGTTGATGTCCGCGGGCTGCAGGGAGCACAGGGAGGCAGAGAAACAGCGAGGAATTAAAYGTGAGAGTGTCAGCGGGAACCAGAGGGACTCGACTCCTCTCCTGGACTCGCTGRGGGATTCCTGTCACCTCCCTGAAACTGCAGAGCCTGGAAGAGTCACAGCCTGAGTCACTGCCCTGGGAAGCCTCTTGGGAGTCACGTGCATCTCAGGCAGGCACAGAGCACCCTGATGCTGCTGCAGGTCTGGGGAGGAGTGTGCAGATTTGGGTGCTGCTGGGCTGCATCCTGTCGCCCAGCTCTGGTTCCTGCCAGGGGTTCCTGGGATTGGGGGTTGAAGGCAACAGACCAGAGGAGCTCCGAGGCTCCTGAAGAAGAGCAGAAGGCTCTGCCCCACTAAACCCCTGAGGGCCCTGAGCTGAGAGAGCCCTTGGCTAAAACCTCTACAAGGAGATAACGCAGCACTCACCGTGGTGTGGGACCAGTAGGAATAGTCGAAGCTGAAGCTTTTTGGTGTCTCTTTGGGCTGCTTTGGGTTCAGGATAGCTGGGGGCAAACAGATAAGAACATGATGAGAATCTCTGTCTTTTCCCCACCGAGCTGGCAGCTCGCAGGCTCCTGCTTTAACCTGGATGGGTCTGGCCATCCAAAGCCAACACACCATGACCATCCTGGCCGGACACCTCGGCAGAAAAACCCTGTTCCTTCCCCCGGACACAGCCACTTTCACGAGCCCACGGAGGACCCAAGCTAAGAGCAGGACTCATCTAGGGAGCTCCCAAAGGTGCGTTAGAGCAGCTGGAGGGCGAGCAGCCTCCCCAGCCTTCCTCCCAAGGGACTCTGGGCCTCCCTCAGCTCCTGCCTCCATCTCCCTGTTTGCATCTGGCTCCGTGTGCTTCATTTCTCGCTACTTGTTTCTCCTCCGGCACCAGCGGGGTGATTAATGTGCTGGGTTAAGCTGCCAATGGAAACAAGGGCCGGCTTTTTCCCATCCCCGTCTGAAAAGGACGTTGCCATGGAAACGGGAGCCTGCATCACTTCTCTCCCTTGCTCGCTCTCTTCCTTTTTCTTTCTTTTTTTYCCTCCCTCCYGAAGAGTGCTTATGATTTTTTCTTTCCCCTCTAAAATAACAGGAGCGCAGAGAGATGCGTCAGAAGTAACTCCAAACTGCGGGAGAATCACGAGACGCAGCGAGCGCSCGTTTGGGGCGACTTTCACCCGACCTTCCCGCGTGAGCCGCTGCCAGGCGCGSGTAGCCGTCCCCATCCGCGCCCCCRCGGGGRCAGCCCCACAGGGAAGGGCAATGTGGGGAAGACCCCAGCTCAGTGGGGCTCGTGGGCCCCTCTTGTCCAAGGCAGGGATGTTTCAGCCCCATGACAACACGCTCGCTGCAGAGCAGTGGAAAAAACCCCACAGATGAAACCAGGAGGCCGCAAAGCCTCTTTCGCAAGGCACTTTGTACAAGCTGGGCCCTAAATTAATGATGAAGATTCCCCAGGTGCCCAGGGGTTGCTAGGGAACGGCCTTGGGAATATCAAATTGGCCGATGTGTCCTTGAAAGCCGAGGCGACGGAGAGCGACGGGGAAAGGAGACAGGCAGAGGCAGAGCCGAGAGTTCGGAGACGGCGGCTGAGCTGCCGTGGGCCTCCGGATGAGCATCCCGGCTGCTCTCAGCTTCCYGGATCCGTAGGGACGAAGGGCTGGGGAGGGATGAGCGGTGTCTGCAGGCTCAAGAGCCCTAAGCACGATTCTGCAGCGGCYGTGGCCGCCAAAATGAGCCCTGGTGCTGGGTGACAAGGAAGGGATCAAATTAGGCCACCTCCTGCATCCATCAGCTCTCTGCTCGCTGAGTGAGAGCCACGGCCACCGGCGCCCTTCGGTCCATCAGTCATTGCAGGAGGCCCTTTTCATCAGGCTTGGTCATGTTCTCCAGGTGTCTTCTAGCTCCCRGGCTTGCTGCGAGACACGGAAGGGCAAAGGGAAGCTCCCGTGATGACGCCCGGTTGGAGCCAGTGACCACTTAGGGAGAAAGGGCCGACCCGATGGGAAGGAGGGTTGGGCTGCGGGCGCACGGAGTGTCTCTTAGACCGTGTCCCCAGGGCACCACGGGGTCTGGGTCCCACTGCAACGGGAGCTCCACAGCGACAAGAGCCCCACGGGAGGCGCAGGGGAGGCCCAGGCCAGCCAGGCGCCCTCAGCTCCGGCTACCTGCCGCATCCCAGGAAGACAGCAGCTAATTTGGGTAAGCAGAGCCACTCTCCCAGGGGAAGGGGTCAGGAATAATGTCTCCATAGCAACTTCCTCATCTCCGTGAGCTGGGGCGGCCTCGCGTAAATCCCCAATGCCGGAACGGCATCGCGGGAAGGGAAAACGGGGCGCTGGCAGGAGCTTTGTCCCTCGCGAAGCCACGGCAAGCGCGGCGAAACGGGGCACGTGCCAAAGGAGGACGGGGAGGCGCCGCATCACGAGGCCATTCCGCACGCCAGTGCAATCCCGCGCCGGGCACGGGGCGGATGAGGAGCTGGCGCCTGGCACCTCCTCCAGCTGCAGCTGCCCAGATGGCCGGGAATGCAGGGAAGGAGCCGGCCCCAGGGCCACCAAGCGGAGAAATCAGGAGGGCTCCTGCGCTGAGTTGCCCTATAGAGYCAGTGAGGTAGCAGGAAGGTGGAGAAGGGGCAACCACTGAGCCAAAGGGAAACGTGAACCACCACGTCCTGGGTTGTTGCCAGAAGTTACAACCTTCTGGAGACCGTCAGGAGGCTTCAGGATGGAATAAAAGGCTGGGGAGAGGGCTGAGAGGAGAGCAAACTTGGGGGAAGCTCAGAGACACATCCCTCCTTGCATTGCTGGGTGGAAGAGGCAAGAGCAGAGGCCAGCAGCTTCCCAAGGCTCTGCCATTCAGCCCAGCACTTGCTATGGGAGACATGGCTTTGGCCAGAGAATATTAATGGCCCAGCAGGAAGAAAGCCGGGATCTTTTCCTCCCGGTTGCCACATGGGAGAGTGAAGGGTGAGCGCTCGGCTGCGGCGTGGGCTGAAGCTGCCAAGAAAGCATGCGGGGGCTCTGGACGCGAGGCCACGGCGCGGCCACAAAGGAAAGGCCGGCGTCAGCGGGACGCCGCGGCGCGGACCGGGCCCGTGGACAAAGGGGCAGTGTTGGCAGGCCGGCCACGGCGCGAGCCGAGCGGTGACACGGGCTGCAAATGCGGGGACCAAAAGGACTGCAGTGAAGGGCCGCTTCCTTCCCGCCCTGGCAGCCACACCGCTCCGGTCGATTTAATCGACTTTGCATAAAAATGACTGTCCGCAGGGCATGCTGCAAATGATCCCGGGCAAGGGGGTGCCGGAAGGGATGTCTGGCCCCCAGAAATACCAGGCTCACCCCCTCCCTGCTTCTGTGCAGCCCCTGTCCCCTCATGCCGAGCGGCGCCGCTTTGCACATCCCTGTTCTCTGGCTCTTCCTCCCCTCTCCTGGAGCACAGGGGCACAAGTGCTGAGCTGGTGCAGCCTGCGGAGCTGCAAACACCCCCCTTTCATCCCCAGCGCGGGGGATTAGCCGAGGGTTTGTTGACTCCTGTTTCAGCGGGCGAGAAAACGTTGTTGTCAGCAAAGGGTTTGCTGGGAACGCGCCGCTGCCCCGGGACAACCCGCCCCACCACCCGAGCTCAGCTGGGCCACACAGAGGAGGAACCAGTGCCCGCTGGCCACCCAAGGACACCTTGATGCCTGTCCCTGTCCAAACCACGCCAGAGATGCCGATGGGGCCTCTCCAGCTTCGAGCAACCACCAGAAAGCTTCCGCAAGGAGAGGGAGGCAGGACAGATACACAGTGGAGGCTCCTTGAGGATGACGCAGGCCCTGCTCCAAGGCTCTGCGTGGCCTCGGAGGCCTTTCAGCTGCTCATCCCCCGCTGCCCCCAGGGGTTYGCTGGGGCTGTCGAGGTGCCCTGGCCCCCCACGAGGGGCTCCTCTCCCCCCTGCCCTTGTCACGCAGCCCAGCGGCTCTGCAGAGGTGGCGGCTTAACCCACCGCCGGTGACGCCTCCGGACACGCAGGAAGGAGGGAGCTATTTTCAACACTGCCCCATCCAGGAGCTCGCAGAGGGGCAGAATTCAGGTGCCTTTTCCCCCTGTTTCCAGCACCCAGGCTCTGGGGCGGTCGTTGGGAGCCCTCATCCCGCTCGTCTCCAGCCCCCCCGTGGCATCGCGTGGCAATCCCACTGCCCCAGTCCTGCTTCCACCCTGATCCCAGGGCAGCGCCCTCCCCGCTGCCCTGCTACTCACTCGTGGTGCTGCCCGACATCTGGATGATGCACTTGGACTCGCGGCTCATTTCGCGGGAGTTGAAGGGCCGCACGCGCACGGCCACCTTCACCGAGGCGCCCGCCATCCTGGCGGCCGGGAGCGGGCGCTGCGAGGGGCGAGCGGGGCCGCGCGGCCGGCGTCCTGCAAAGGGGGAGAGCGGCACGTTACGCGAGACGGCCCCGTCCTGCCCCGTGGCCACGAGGGACCCTTGTCCCACCCTGCTGTCATGAAGGAACCCCCCCGGCCCACACAGCTCCTCCGTGGTCCCTCACCCTGCCGCGCGGTCATGAGGCACCAGCCCTGGCCCACACATCTCCTCGACGGCCCCTCGTCCTGCCCCATGGCCATGGGGGACCCTTGTGATGCCCCACTGCGAGGCACCAGCCCTGGAGCTGCATCCCCCCTTGCTGATGGAGACCAACAGCCCCGGGCCCTTCGCAGCACAGCACGGAGCCTGTCAGTCAATAACTATTTTCTGCTTAATCTGGCTAATCCAGGAATCAATTTGCCCTCAAAGCGAGGGGGCATCTCCACACGAGGAGCCGGAATAGCCTCTGGAATAGCRGGCGGGCAATGGTGGGGGCAGCGCAACAAGGCAGCCCCCACCTGCCATCCGTGCCCATCTCCCACTGCGGTTCAGCTTGTCCTCAGGACCTTGGCTGATCCCAAGCTCCACGTAGCCRTTTTCCGAGGGCATCACAGGGGAGCAGGCTGGGAGGTGACCATGGAGCACCAGCGAGGTGGCCACAGGCCAGAATCCCAAATGGACTGCTCCGGCTTCTTCTAGAGCACCTGCTCTAGGCATCACTCTCTTGGCACAGATGAGATGCCTAGAGATGCACTCTAGGCATCTAGGCATTCTTCTCTAGGCATCTTCTAGAGCACCTGCTCTTGCCATCACTCTCTTGGCCATTGGTGCCTCACCCTTCCCAACCCCAAATCAACCCTTGCTACTATTAACAAGAGCTGCACAAGGTCCTTTCCTTGTATCTCAGGTTCTCCGTCCCATTTTCCATGCTCTCCATGCTTCCTTCCCTCCCCAGGGCGCACTGGTGATTTAGCAAAACAAGCCTTGGATCCTTTCTGTCTCTCCACATTGCCGTAAAAATCAGCCCACTCTTTGTCGCCTTCCTCTCTCCACCAGCACCAGCCTCTGGTGCTCACTCAAATAGGCTCATTAAAACACAGCCCTTTCCTTCCATCTCGCAGCTTGTGCTCCATCACGCTCTAGGAGCCGTGAAAGCGACAGCGGGCGGGGATAAAAATAAAACTAAAGACACCAAAACCGCGGCCAGACAGCGGGCATGCAGTCTGTGCCAAAGAGGGGCGAGCAATGACACAGCTCTGGTGACTCCAGCTGTGCTTGGACACAGCCAGGATGGGTCACCCTCAACGCAAGGTATTGCCCTCAGGGAAATGCAACCGAATTTGCAGCAGATGGGGAGGGAAAAAGAATTGGAAAAAAAAAAAAAAAAAAAAAAAAAAAAAAAGCAGGTGCTTTTAGGCTCTCTTGAATGCAAACTGCAAACTGTTTAAAAGGTGTATTTAATTATTTATTAATAATAAGCTCCGCTTCCTCCCCCTGCCCTGCCCGGCTCTCCCGGCTCTCTGCAGGCCTCCACGGACCTGGCCCTGCTGGCGAGCGAGCTGCACCCTCCGGGCGCTTGAAACCACCCCCGTGCCCGGCTGGCCTTTGCCTTGGCCCGGCACACCCTTAGCCACCCCAATGCCAGTGCTGTCCTCAGACTTCAACAGCTCTTTTTGCTCTCCCTGGCGCCCACGCTTCTAGAAAGCCATCCATTTTATTCGGCTGCTCGGCAGCAGGGACCTCTCCAGCAACGCAGGCTCCATTTTCCRTGCTGGAGCAGCTCCGTCCATTTCCTGGGAACCGTGAGCCAGCAAAATATGGCTCCATCCCTGCTTCTCTGCAGCCTCCAGGATCCTACCGGATCCGCAAGGTGGCCAGGTGCCGAGAGCACCCACCAAGCCCCTTGGATGCAGGGGGCAGGAGGAGCCGGTCGGCCCGAAGGCAACAGGCGGCCCCTTCTTGGGGACAGTCGGCCGCTGCCTGTCGAACCCGCCGTGGAGAGAAATCCACTGAGCCGGGACGGGCCCCTTGCTGGGGAGCGTGGGCCAGGCGGGACGGCGGCGCTGGGGGCACAGCGCCCACCTCCCTGCCCCAGCATGGGCAGCCCACAGGGACCCCGCGCCCGGGCCCGCGGGCCGGAGCACAGAGCCACCCTTAATGGGATGAGCTCGGATTAATTGGGGCGGAGATGGGCTGACGGGATTGCCCTTAAGCTGGGGGGCTGACCCCCCCCCGCCACCCCCAGCCCTCTCCTTGTCCCACCCGGCCGCGCGCTCCGCAGCCGCCCGCGCCCCTCCCCGCCGCAGAGATGCCCAACGCTGCGAGATCCCTGTCGGCCGCCGGCACCCGTGTTTCGCTTGGGGGTTTTGCTGTTTGGKTTTGGTCCATTTCTGCCAGCGTCAGCCGCTGGCGCAGAAGGGCTGAAGGGAGCGCGGAGCCTCCCCGTCGCTGCCTGCGCTCCGGAGCTGTCCAGGCATCAGCAGCCCGGGATTCCTGCGGGAAGGCTCCCGGCTGCCGCAACCCGACGAGCCCCTTTCGGGAGCACCCCGGTGCCGTGAGGGCTGTGGCGGCCGCGGGGCGCTCCCCGCGGCCCTGTGCAGCTGTGACGCTGCAGATTTGCGCGCCAGGGCCCGCCGGCACCCCGCGCCCCGGGGTAGCGCCGGGCCGGTGGCACGTTGGCGAGCAGCCTGGCACCGGGCACCGCACACCCGGCCACGCAGGTGCAACAGCATCCCGCTCCGCGCGGTCCCCATCACCGCCAGGTGACACAAAACAGGGCGGCGGCCGCCCCCCGCAACAGGGCCGTGGCCGGGGGACGCCTGCCTCGG